GTCTTGCACATTAGTAATGACTTGAGTTTGCTGTTTGAGCTCCTCAAAATCATGTCTTAATTTCGTTACTTCAGCTTCGGCTTTAACGATTTCTTGATAAAGATGAATATAACTATTGGCTTCGGGTGACTGTGAGGTAAATGCCAAATCTTGGTGGGTGTTATTATCCTTTAACTCTTTGATAAGTTTTTTCAAAAAATGCGATTCCTTTTCTTTATTACTTTTTTTATCTGAAATAACTTTAGGATCAGAGGTATTTTTACGGGCTCTTTTGCGGGGGGTTTTTTTTCGAAGAGTCCTGATTATCTTTACTCCCCAATTCATCTACATCCTCCATTTCTTGATCCTCCTGCGAATCTTCTTGGATTACTTCTGTATTGAGATTACTCATCCTCCTAACTATCGATGAAGTACTTGACTGAGAATCTCGTCTAGAAGTATCTATAATAGTTTCGGCACTTTGATCGCACTCAGGAAAAGGACATATATTGGTAATTAAAAGATATTTCTCAATGCAAATTCTATGAAAGACGTGGCCACATTGTAGTGTTGTAAATCCTTTAAGAGGGTGCGAAAAAAATTCTTTGTTGCATTCTAAACATTGCTTTAGTTCTGGAAATTCTTTATTCTCAACAGTATCTCCAAATGTTTTTAGGATATTATATGCGAAATTTTTAAGGTTATTAACAGACATAGCGGGAATATTTGCAAATAATGCACTTTCTCTGAAAGATAAATCGTTACAGAACACTTCTACCGGATTTGGCTGGTTTTTATAATGTTAGTATTTTCCACGGATCACTCTGTTAAAGATGCAAAACACTACAATCGATAAATCAGTAATTTCGGAGCAATATATGTCATGAATGGGATTAATTTATTCTCTATGGGCGATCTCAGTCGATTTTCCTACAACATCATACATTAATTAAACGTTTCTATGGCGATCTGTTACCTTTACCGATCATAATATTTGCATAATTTCTCTGATAGGTAGGCCCCCATTCGATGTCAAAAAATAAGCTTAATCATTTTTATACAACAACAATACATACCTCTTATTTCAGAAGAAATGATATTTGTGGAGTCATGAATTTTTTTCTTGTCA